CCCGGAACTCTCTCCAGGTTAAATCCCAAGGGAGTCAGAGCGTCCTCGGACACTTGAGGTAACTGGACACTATCTTGCAAGTCTGAAGTTTTCAGGAACACAGAAGGAGTGACAGGATCACCAGTGCCTGGGAACCCCTTGGGTACGCTACTGGAAAATGCACTGGCCTGTAAGGACTTAATCCCAATGTCGTACTCTGCGGCAGTATTTGGGAGATCTCGGATCCAAGCTAGTAACCCCAAAATGGTACGATCAAGTCATCAATTTGGGCATGCCCTCGATAAAGGGCGAGCACAATGCGTAAGTCTCGCATGGAAGCAAATCCCAGTAGAAGGTACCCCCGGGGAAAATAATCTGGTCGACAACAAGGAAGGAAGCATGAGTCTCTACCTTGGATAGAAAAAGTGAGGGAAGTCCGACCCGGACACGCATGTGAGAACCAGTACTCCACTAAGGGAGGACACATGTGTCGGTTCTACGAGAAGGACATGTCGTAACTGCTTATCCCTAAACAAACTAGACCTGATAATATTGACTTGCGCACCAGAGTCCATGAACAAATGAACAGGCGCATTATGAACAGATGCTTGCACTATAGGGCTTATGGTTGCATTGGAAGTTATGTGCAAACAAAAAGGTGGATTGTCATCAGAAAAGATTTGTTCCACTTCATCCCCAAAATCATCTACGTCAGAGACATGTGAAGCAACATGATCAGCAGGATTGTCATTCTCGAGACTGCTTAAGGCTTCAAAGGAATTGTGAACGAGGATGGGTACTTTTTTATCACCTACTGTCACCCTGGGACGGTTTTTACTGGGGGGCTCGAATTCCCCGAATTGGAAAAATGAGCCTGGTTCTGGTTAGTTTGAGAACCACGATGTCTGTTTCCTCTACGGGTTTGGGTTGGAACGGCCGGAAGACTAGGTTGAGGTTTTGAGGATTGCGTAATTTGTTTATGTCATGTATTCTATGATAAGTACAGTAGGGGAAGATCTGCTGGGATCATCAGACGAGCCTTTAGGGTGACTATTCAGGACCCAAATTTCATATGCCACGGAAACCACAGTTGTAACAAGCGTGACATGGTTACTGAATGTACTATGGGAAAATACGAGGTTTATAATTTACCTGAACTGGGCCTTGGTGATCGTGAGATGGTTGTGACCCCGATTTGCGCTGTGGCCAAAACAAGTGGTAGTGAGTCATTATGGTCCACATGGTTATGGTAATGGTTACTAGGAATGTCTACTGCATGAGATAATACGAGAGAGAACGGTTTTTGCACACTTAGATCCTCTTAACAAGTAATCATCTAAATGAAATGTAATGTTTAAATTTGTGCTGAAAGTCCTTAGGGTCAACATTCTCAGTCTCCGGCCGTGAAAGAAAACACTTGAAGACAATCTTTACTGGGACAACGTTTCACTTTGGGTTTAGGATTTTTACACACAATCAATAAGTAAGACATGTGGAACCCGTTAGTTAAATTTATTCCAAAACGTTTCACCTACACAATGATAATACAGTCGAAAAAGAGGGAGCAGAAGCAGTAGAGATATAAGCGTGTTATCAAATCCTCGCCTGGGAAATGTAGTTTTGAGGTGGTCAGTCCCTTTCCTGGAGAAGAGTGCTTAATAGTCGGAATTTAAGATTTCCTAACTGTTGCACATGTGTCTTCTTTCACTTGTGGTATTGTATATCTTTTTCCATATTCACACTGTCAGGGCACTGCAACAAACGGTATCTTGGTACAGAGACACCTGAACAACTTATTGCTGATAACTAGTTACCCGTGAGAAAGGATGCATTTGAGAGGACCTACCCATTAGGTTTGCTACAGTGCCTCTCAGTGATTACATGTTACTTCTGTCAAGATATTCTGCGCCTTACCTTTGACAGTATATAAGTCTCCATTCTGTTGCTCCAGCTTCACATTTTTCTAGACCATGGAGAACTCTTCTCCAGGCTGAGACTGGCCCGGTGGCCTGGTGGCTAAAGCTCCCGCTTCACACACGGAGGCCCCGGGTTCGATTCCCGGCGGGTGGAAACATTTCGACGTTTCCTTACACCTGTTGTCCTGTTCACCTAGCAGCAAATAGGTACCTGGGTGTTAGTCGACTGGTGTGGGTCGCATCCTGGGGGACAAGATTAAGGACCCCAATGGAAATAAGTTAGACAGTCCTCGATGACGCACTGACTTTCTTGGGTTACCTGGGTGGCTAACCCTCCGGGGTTAAAAATCCGAACGAAATCTTATCTTATCTTACTGACCACCTCAGTGATGAGCTGATTACATCGTCTTCACATCTCTACTGTTCCTGCTGCCTTTGTATTAGACTGAAGCCTACTGTGTAGGCGAAATGTTTCAGAATAAACACCCACCTATTTACACACGTGTCTTATCAACTTGTCGATATTGTATACCATTATCATATTTACATTCAAACCTGTCTCTTCTTCATTATGCACCATTTGCGAAGTATGGTCCTACGGGCTTATCTCTTTCCCATGAAAATAATAATAATGTTTTTCTCTAGTACACTCATTTTGACTAAGAATTCAAAGAGAATTCAAAGCACATTGGTTAGTTAGACAAGTTATTTCCAGTGTCATAATGAAAACACTTCTATGTTACATTATAAAAAAAAACTGCTAAGTGTTATGTTAACTACCAAGTGCAATAGCTATCAGTTATTATGAAATGTTGAATACGTAGGCAATGTGTTGTATGTATGTAGCAAGTGTTAGCCAGTGATAGTTACCTAAGCATGAAACGCCCAGAAATTTTTAGATGAGTGGGGCTGCTGGACAAGAGAGCGGGGTCAACAATGATACCAGTGCTTGAGGCTACATACAGACTTGCAGCGGGTACTAAAGCTTTCTGTCGGGCTGAGTGACGGCAAGAACTGTAGTAATACATCGACAAGCATATGCATCTCTCGGTGTTTATATACCGAGAAGTCTGTAACTTTAACAATGTTAAGAAGCAGGGCCAGGAAGTGGACCTTGATCCTCGCATTAGTAATTCCATGAATAACACACACACAGTTGTATTATAGTTGCGTGTATGAGAGTATCGCCCTTGTCACACCGGCTTTCTATTCCCTGTGACTGGCTTACTATTCCCTCAGTGACTGGCTGTTTACACTCTCCCGCCCTGCATACCATAACCTATATAAACAACCAAATGTATCAACTGTGACCCTTCAAAAGTGAGGCCTTGATGCTAGTGAACAGCGATTGATCCAAGGAACTGAAGCTACCTTTTCCTTCCTTGGATCTGCCCTGATTACCTCCCATTCCCCAGGTTCTGTATGACCTTAGAGTTTTAGTTTTTTCTCATGAATGTAACAATACAGTATCCTCCTTGACTCCTAAGCAGAAGGCACACGTGTGTGTGCCAGGGTAAACCAGTTTTACTTGATAATAACCAAAGAACGGTCCTTCACTGGCTGCAATCACTGCATCATGCAAACTAGGCTGCAGCCGGATTCAGCACTTGAATACTTGATATCAGGATAAGTCATGCAACTTAGCTCTTACCTTGTAAAAAGAAAAGAACATGAGAACTTAAAAGGGTATTGCAGCAGGCCTACTGGTCCATCCTAGACAGGTCCAACGCACACGCATGTACTTAATCCTACCTGTTTTTAAAGCTACCAAAGTTCTCGCTTCCATAACGCTGCGTAAGTTTGCTCCACTCATCGACAACTCTGTTGCCAACCCAGTTCTTTGCTATATCATTTCCTTGGCTTTCGTTATTATAATTATTGAGAGTACGGGGTCAAAAAGTTTTTTATTCATATATAGACATCAAATTTGTATTTATTTTTACATATTTTAGCCTTCAAGGTGCCTTGGTGCTAATGAGGGGCCTCCTGATCCAAGGAATTAGCGCTACCATTCCCTTTCTTGGATCAAACCTAATTGCCTCCCGTTCCCTAGGCGTTATATGGCCAATACATATTTAGAGCTTCTCTGTAATAATAATAAGTGATATGACCAATTTTGTAACAAAACTGGCCATATCAATTGGAACAAAACTTGTCATGCCATTGTAATAAAACTGGCCACACTATTGGTACAAAACTGGTCATCCCATGGGAGCAGAATAAGTTATTCGATTGGTACAAAACTGATCATATAATAGGAACAAAACTATCAATTAAGATTTTTTAAATAACATTAAAATATAGGAGCACTGCAGCATAGATATACTGCAGTGCTCCTAACATGTCCCCCTCAAGGAAGGTTCCTTGATGTTGGTGAGGGGCTCTTGATTTAGGGAATTGGATCTGCTCCAGTTCCCCAAATTAAGCCTAAATACCTTCCACATCCCCCCCAGGCGCTGTATAATCCTCCGGGTTTAGCGCTTCCCCTTTGATTATAATAATAATAATCCTAACATGTTCATGTTAGGGACGTCCTTCTCAAATTCATTTCTCATTCATATTTGTCTAACATGTGGAAAAAAGGCAGAAATGCAACATTTAGGACAATTAGGAGACGATGACTTAAACACATGTATAGCATCAGGGTATCTTTGCTCTGTAGACGTTTCACCATCCAGTGGCTTTATCAGTTCGACATAATCTGAACACTAGAAAATAAATAATAGCCAATGGATGATGAAACGTCTACAAAGATACCCAGATGTTGCAAGTGTCTAATTAATATTCCTATCGGTATTGTACACAATTTATATAGACGTTTTGCCCACTGGTGATTTTTTAATTCAGTACGGAGAACAGAAACACTGAATATATAGGGTAAGGAAAATAAGTGACCTGCGCAAGATTGGGTCCAGTGATGTCAGGTGCTTGAACATGTTCCTGCTGATACGTCAGGAACACTGTTCTGATATATAGGTCTTTTCCAGATGGTGACCCATCCTTGGCTCCCTATGGAGTGTTGGTGTTTGTACAAGTGGGATACAGTTTACAGGCCTATGGTGAGGGCCCAGCTTGTCTTGGATGAAAGTGAGGCGCCGTTTATAGCCCTATGGTGGAGGCACCCATATAGTGAGGGTCCTGCGTGTCTTTCTCAGCTCTAGTGGTGTAGCAGTTAGCTACAATCTTTGCAAACGTCCTGTGGTGGATGCACAGCACATCTTTCGTAACGTCTTCTGTCCGGTATGTACGATGGTGCAAGATGTATCCTACTTTTCCTGCTCACACGGAGTGGGCATTGAGTAGCAGAGATGATGGTAAAATAGGAATCAGGGTTGCGTCGTTGGTATCGAAAGTCATATGTTCACGATGTTTTTTTTCCCCCTTTTTTTTAAATTTTGATTCATTGGAGGCATCCCCGACTTCGGGTTGCAACCCTAGCACCGGGTGATTCTGGAAGACTGACTGCTTCGTTCTGTGCTGTGAATGCCTGTGATACTCGTGTAATGTGTTGAAGGGTAGAATAAGCTTGGCAAACATTCCCGAGATGCAAAAGCTACCTGAGCTTTGGGCTACTATATCGGAAACCGTTATCAAGACAGCCTCAAGGCTACGACATTTCTGGAGATTGTCTTCATACACGACCAAATTGGCACCTTTTCATCTCGTCAAGTGCTCGTATGAATTCCTGTGCATCAAGCAAGCGTTATTCAGTCAATTCTTACAGCTCGATGTATATTCGCTTTTGGTTTTTACTGCATTCATCGAATACCAGGCTATGATGGACTGAGAATCTACGAAGCTGCTTTATATTTTTTTCTCTTGTCTGTAAAGTAAGATAAGATTTCGTTTGGATTTTTAACCCCGGAGGGTTAGCCACCCAGGATAACCCAAGAAAGTCGGTGCGTCATCGAGGACTGTCTAACTTATTTCCATTGGGGTCCTCAATCTTGTCCCCCAGGATGCGACCCACACCAGTTGACTAACACCCAGGTACATATTTGCTGCTAGGTGAACAGGACAACAGGTGTAAGGAAACGCGTCGAAATGTTTCCACCCGCCGGGAATCGAACCCTCCGTGTGTGAAGCGGGAGCTTTAGCCACCGGGCCACCAAAGTATACATAATATACAAATTTACATAACTGACACCATGTTGATTATATACTTTCTTGCTATGTATGTAAACCCTTCGACTTAAATTTTACTCAAATAAAATTATAAAATATTTGATTATATATTGGTTTCATGAATATTGCATAAACTCTCTTTATAACTATGAGTCACATGGTAATATTAGCTGACCACTTCACAGTAACAAGCTCGGCTATGTAGCAAGAAGGACCTCTGGTTTAGCATATTAACAGCCATATCTCCTAAGGTATGCATTACAACAGAATATCATCAGCAGCTATTCAAGCACAGAAAACCTTAATCGACTTTCAGAAAGTTTCACAAAGAATTATTAAAATTAAATAATCTACGCGTGTCAGAAATGTTCTGGAATATGCACCTTGGAGACCACACCAAATAAGTTTGTCGCAAAAACTAAAGTCCAGAGATTCACATCAAGACGGGCCCCGGAGCCGAGAGAGCTGATATATGAGGAAAGGCTAAGAGAACTGAACCTGACGATCTTGGAGAAAAAAAGAATCGGGGAAAACATGATAATAACGAACAAGATACTTAGAGGATTTGATAGGGAAGCCAGAAATAGATTCTTTAGAAAGCAGGGATCGGGGACAAGGAGATACAGATGGAAGCTAGTGACGAAAAGGAGTTACAGAGCCAGGAAGTGGGAGTAATATTCATGACACAATATATAATGATCTGAGTTTAGGAGAGATTTTAACCACTAATCAACCGTGATGACTTCCAACTGTATAGGTTAGAGACGAATACATTGAAATTGATGTGTAGAGCGCGCTTCACTACTCTCCTAGTGCGTTTTTTTTTTTTTTCCTTTTTTTTTTTTTTTTTTTTTTTTACACAGGGTTTAGCCCTTGTGGCTTAGCGCTTCTTTTTGATTATAATATTAATACACAGGGTTTGACAAGGTTAAGGATCCCTAATTTTATTGACAAGCTATTTACAGGTTAAGGATTCCTAACTTTATTGACAAGCTAAGAGCTGTTACCTACATCAGCTCATTTGAAAGCATTTTTATTGTTATGAGACATACAAGTAGGGAACAGGATGAAGTTGGAGCCATCTGTGGGCCAGCATTTTCATTTGATCAACTGGCGTTATCTCGTTGACATCATTATGCTGTGCAGCGCTGTATAGCCCTTGTGGCTTAGCGCTTCTTTTTGATAATAATAATAATAATAATAATAATAATAATAATAATAATAATATTCATTATGCTGTACGAATGTGTTCCATACTCGAGTCATCCTGGATATATATGATCTCAGATGGAGTGATGCTCTGGAGAAGGGTACAGCCAGAGTGAAGTTGCTGCTTTCTGCCCGTCTTGTGGCATAAAAGCTTGTTTCACGCTGTCCTCAAAGTGGATCCAAGTGTGGTACTTTGACAATATTGGCCTTATACATAACAGTAAGGCCACCCACATCCCTCCTGTGTTGAAGGCTCTGCTGAAATGACAGATCTATCCAGGATGGGTCCAGGCGAGAGATGAGACGTCTTGCTCTTTCTCCACTCTGTCAAGCAGTCGCAGATGAGAGGAGGGCAGGCAAACCAAGAAAGTGGAGCATACTCAAGGTGTGAGCGTACTTGTGTCTCGTACAGAATCTTGCAACCCCTACTGTCAAGCAGATGCGAGATACGGCGAAGTGCTGTAAGCTTCCTGGCTGCCTTGTTTGCTAGATTTACAACATGGTTCTTCATGGTTAGTTTGGAGTCAAATTTCACCCTAAGGATATCAACTTCTTCTCCAGGTGCCAACACCCTCCCGTTCATCCTTACTACTGCACCAGCATTGCCATCATGGTGCCTAGAGACGATCATCATTTGCGTTTTCTCAGGTGCAAATGTTACTTGCCATCTATTTCCCCAAGCTGATATAGCTCTTAGCTGGTGATTGATGTAGCTTAGAGCAGCTGGCATTTCTTCTCTTGGGTAAGTGAATGTCAGTGTACAGTCGTCTGCATATGCATGTGATTCTGGGATGAGATGAAGAAGGTCGTTGAAGTAGACATTCCATAACAATGGTCCCAGCACGCTTCCTTGTGGAACACTTGCCCCAATAGGATGTCTTGCTGATTCCGTTCCATTGAGAACTACACTTAGAAATCTACCATGAAGGTAATCACTGAGGAAACATAGCGTAGAGCCTGCAGTTCCCAGTGCTTGAAGTTTTGCTACGAGGCCCTGGTGCCACACCCGGTCGAAAGCACCAGCAATGTCCAGTGCTACCACACAGCTGACTTTGGATTCATCCAGTGACTGGTGCCACTTAGTGGAGAGGTTTAACAACAGATCAGCAGCAGAGTAACCTTTCCTGAAGCCATATTGACGATCACAAAGTAGTGAGTGGTAGTCAAAAAGCTGTCATTTGTCTTGAGATTATTGTCTCAAGGATCTTACCAGTGATTGACAGGAGTATTTTACCATTTTCGATAGACCAATAAAATTTACAGGTGCCGTATTACACCTACAAGTTTAATGCTTCCCTGTGAATATAATAGGTTAGGTAAGGTTCGTCAGGAAACAGGACAAATGTTTCCTGACGCGGGTCTTAGTCAGATGATGACCCGCCTTTGGAGCTTTTGGTCATCTGACCGAGGCCTTCCGCTGGCTTACCGGTCCACCCCTTTAAAAATTATGGTCATTTATAACCATTGTTTTTTTTAATGTGTGAATATAATAATATTTATTGTTTCCCTTATTCATGTTATAATTTTTTTCTGCAATTTACGTGTGCATCTATGCAAGGGCACCATTATTTTGCCGCCATAAATTGCTAATTATAGCTATATTTAGTTGTTTTTAATTTTACCATCCTAATTTTTTATTGTGTATTTAGTATCTTGGCAAACTGTTGTTTAATATTTAATTAATACTAAAACGTGACCATTGTATACGGTCTGCTTCCTGGGAATTTCACAAGCTCATATGGTTATTTTTTTCTTCTCAAATTTTTGAAGCTTGTAGCCTTTCGTATTTAAGGTTTATACTCGTGATTAATGAGTAAAGGTTGTGCATATAAATAATTTAGGAAAAACTACTAAAACTCATCGTAGCATGTAAATCAGTATAGTATTTATATATATTCAAGCCACGGATATATATATATGCGCGCTGAGTACGCGTATATATGCAAGGATATTAGTGTCATGCAAATTACTAAAACTAGAAGCGCTTATATGAATGAACGAGAAGGCACTGGTGATATTTAAGAGTAAACGCTATAGGTATCTAGGGCCCCAGTGTACATAAGTCACATTGACTTTATTGGATTATCCTAAGTTAAATTCTGCTTAATATGCTACATAAAACTATTGTAAAAGTTTCAGACTATGTATGATGCCTAAATATTTAAAAAACTTGGTACATTTACAAAGTACATTACACTTTTCATTAATAATCGACACTAAGCTTGTAAAGGCATCTCATGGAAGGTTAGGTAAGGGTCGTCAGAAAACAGCACAAGTGTTTCCTGACGCGGGTCTTAGATGATGACCCGCCGTTAGAGCTTTTGGTCATCTGACCGAGGCCTTCCGCTTGCTTACCGGTCCACCCCTTTAAAAATTATGGTCATAGGTATAACCACTTTGTGTCATGAAAATTCGAACTTTCATTGAGCAAAACACAGCAGCACGAAAAGCTTTGAGGTTGACCAAGAGAGACATTTTCCAGTTATCGCACGGAATCCAACGATTCAGTTTTTTTTTTTTAACTACGTTCATATATTGGCAAAGTTGCACCTATTGGATATTATCCTTCTCAGATGGTGCGGTGCACCATCCAATAGGAATTGAGGCCATTCCAATGAAACATACAAAATATTTCATTGAAAAATGCAACATCATTTTAAAAACAAAAATGACAATTTGGCACAACACCCTAGTGTTGAGATTTGAGACCGAGCAAAAGAGGCTTTTTTTTAAGGAACTTCACGTAAAACGAAACAGAATAGTTTACATAAGATGAAGCAGAGAGCACATGCACATACCATTAGTTGCATGAACCTTTCTGTTCATGCAACTAATGGCATGAGGCGTTCTCAAGTTTATAAGCGAAAACTGTCAAGGAATAAAAAATCAACCGCTTAGAGGTATCT